TGGAGCTTGTCCAACGCCCTCAATGGGGACCCTCTGATCTTCATTCAAGGAGCTCCTCAGCGGTAGCTCAGCACTCCCTGCGAAGCATTCATTGAGCACCTGCTGAGTACCACGCCCCATGCTGGGCTGGACCCCCAGGGCGTAGAGGAGATGCCACCAACCTCTTTGGAGCTTCCTGCCTGGAGGAGCGACAGGGACAATCGGGAGAACCAGGAGCCTGGACTCCTCCATCCGGGCCGGGCCACGCTCCTCGGAGCCTGCGACCCAGCAGGACCTGTGGTTTCACAGGGGAAGCATCAAGGCTCCCAGAGGCAGCAGAAGCTGCTCAAGGCCACACCGCCCGGAAGTGGGGTTCAAACCCTGGGACTGGAACACCAGCCTTTCGGGATGCAGACACCTATGTCCTCCCTCCGTGTGCCTGGAGGAGTTTCCTGCCAGGGCTGGTGCTTATAGGAATTCGGTTTGTTTTCCAGGTGGGGACACAACAGAGAGAGGAGAGGACCGGTCCACGTCACCTGGCAATGAATCCCACTGGGTCTCCCTCGCCTTTCCAGCCCCCAAGAAATAGTCCTGGCGCCTGTCCCCTTGGGCCCAAGTCCCTGGGCTCCCCAACCCATGTTACCAGCCATGTGTCCAGCTCTGCCAGCTCAGACAATGCCTCAGCCCTGGCTGGGGTCACCACACCCCAGAGGGAGACAGGGAACAGCTGCATCATGACCCCGGGCCCCCTCTGGGCGCCAAACCCCTGCAGAGGGGCGCAGGAGGTGGGGGGCCTTTACATCACCCAAAGGGCAGCGTGAACCTGTCTCTCTTCTCTGGCCACATCCTCCACCCTCCCTGACGCCCACAGCACCTCCCCTGGCTGCTGGCGTTGCTCTGGTTTCGCCGACATTTCTAGAACCCGCTGCCTTAGCCCCCAAGGAAAGACGTTAAGACTAAAATGCCAAGCATCTAAGAATCACTGATCTCACGAAGCTTCTAAACCTAATCCTGGAAGGAAGAGGTAACTCATAGAACTGCCGACACCGAGAGAGAGAGAGAGAGAGAGAGAGAGAGAGAGAGAAGTTGCCTCCTCTCCTCTTTGGGCCACAGCACTTCACAGTTCACAGCTAACAAGCTCACATCCTTGGAGCACCTGTGGGGGCACTGTCCTAAGCACTCTAAGTGAGCCAACTCTGCCTCCACCTCCCTCCAGGGTAGGTGCCGCCATTGTTCCCATTTCACAGATGCGGAAACTGAGGCCCAGAGAGGTTGAATGTCTTGCCCAAGAACATACAGCTGGGAAATGGCAGAGTTGGGATTCCAACCCAGGTCTTCTGAAGCCTGAACCCCTAACCACCATGCTACACTGCCCCGCACACTGTAAAGTACATTTGCATCTAGTAACCTCTCAGCATCCTGGGGGGTCCAGGGGACAAGGCAAGGGCTGTGGCCCCAGCTTTACAAGGGAGGAACCCACAGCTCAGAGAGAGAAGCTGGCTTGCCCCAAGCCACACAGCCATGAAGGGCCTCATTGGGTCTCCTGGTTCCTTATTCCTCCTCCTCCCCTTGCTGTCCCCAGTCATTGACCCCTTGGCAATCCTGTTTCTCCTTTTCCCCCTCCAGACCCTCCAGCTGAGCCTGGCTCTCCAAACCCCAAGGGAGATGCCCCAGGTGGCCCCTCCCAGACCTGGACCCTCCAGCCTTGCAGGGCACCCCAGGCGGCCCTGCAGGGCCCCCGTGGGGGGTGGGGTCTGTGCCGGGCATCGCAGGGGCCTCTGGCATCAGGGACCCTGGCAGGAGCGGATTTATGAGCCGGGCTATTTTATACGTTGCAGCTGCTTCCATAAACCCTGGGCCGGCCTGGGGAGAGGGGCGCAGCTGTGGGGAAACCTCCCGGGCCCTGGAGCCAGTGCCAAATCCTCCTGCTATTTGTGAGCAGCCGGAGGAATCCTGAAATGAAAACTTCCTGAAAAAAAAGGGCAAATCCCTGTCCCTCTCCAGACAGGCCCGATCCTTCCCCCACACCCAGTAAAGAGCCAGGATGAGGCAGAGCAGGGCTGGCCACAGCGCCAGGCTGCCCACCAGAGACCCCGATTCTCACCAGCTCCGGACAGTTCCCAGGTCCTATCTGGTCTTCATATGCCCACTTATAAATTGAGGGGCAGGCCTCAATTAGGGGTTCTGAGACCCTCTGAACTGTAGAGGTTCCCTTACGTCGCTGAGCTCAAACATTCCCACTGTTTAAGGTTCTATGCTCCAACTACTGGCTGTGTGTCCTCGGACAAGTTACTTGACCTCTCTGGTTCTCTGTTTTTCTCCTCTGTAAAATGGGGAGAAATAATGACCATCTCATTAACAGGGCTGTGAGGGAGAAGTAACCTAACATCCGTAGTTCATAGCAGCTTTCTTTGTAATAGCCCCAAACTGGAACCCACCCGAATGTCCATCAGCAGGTGAACCGACAAATTGTAATACATCCAGACAAGGGAATGCTACTCAGCAGTAAAAAGGAGCGAAATATTGATACATACAATAACATAAGTAAACCTCAAAATATGTATGCCAGACCAAAAGAGTGCACACTGTATGGTTCCATTTCTATAAAATTCCAGAAAATAAAAACGAATCACAGCCCTGGCCGGGTGGCTCAGTTGGTTGGAACATCATCCTGTACGCCAAAAAGGTTGTGGGTTCGATCCCCAGTCGGGCAACCAATAGATGTTTCTCTCTCACATGTTGAGATCTCTCTCTCTCTCTCTCTCTCTCTCTCATCAATAAAAACATATTCTTGGGTGAGGATTTAAAAAAAAAAAAGGACCACAGTGACAGCAAATTAATAGTTGCCTGGAGACTGGAGCCGGGGGATGGAGAGGAACAGTAAGGAGGGTTTACAAGAGGTAACAAAGAACCTATCAGAGGTAATGGCTGTCCATCATCTTTTTAAAAAATATATTTTTATTGATTTCAGAGAGAAAGGAAGAGGGAGAGAGAGATAGAAACATCAATGGTGAGAATCATTGATTGGCTGCCTCCTGCACGCCCCCTACTGGGGAGCGAGCCCAAAACCCTGGCATGTGCCCTTGACCGGAATCAAACCGTGACCCACTCTTCAATACCACACACCCACCACTACCCCCATTCCCACACTGAGCTGGGGCCCATGTCTTGCGGTGGTTTGGCTCACTTCTCTCTCCCTCTTTATGGAGACCAGGCCTGGCCCTGGGACAGACTCCCAGGCTGAGGGCAGCTGTGCGGTTTTATAAGCCCCGGGACAGTAGGGGCCTGTTCAGGCCCTGGCAGATTCCTGGATCCCTGGGAACAGTGAAACCCCCCACCCCCACCCCACCCTCAAGCCCACTCTCCCCCCTGGCCGGCCACAGCCCCCAACCGCTGTCTCCCTCCATGGCTCACTCCCCACTGGTGCCCAGCCAGATGTGTGCCCATAAAAGGCTCTTCTTGGGTAACGGCTCTGCAATTGTGGGAGCAGATTGGAGGGGCTCTAAGCCGGAATGGGGCCCTGCTGTCCCCCACTCCCCAAGGGCTTCATTCATTCATTCACTCATTCATTCATTCATTCATTTATCAAAAAAGCAGTAGAGCCCAGCAGAGAACTCAGACTCGGGAATCAGATTGCAGGACTGGAGTCCTGACTGTGTGACCTGGGCAACCGACTTCACCTCTCTGGACCTCAGTCTTCCCACCTGTGACATGGGAATAATAACAGTGCCCACCTCGTAGGGTGGCGAGTCCAGTGCTTGGAGCGGTGCCTGGCACATAACAGGCGCTCGTTAATTGTGAGCAATCATTATTGTCATGGAGCTCAGGAGACTGTGGAAGAGAGGCTGGTCAGGGGCCATCAGGGAAGGCTCCCAGGAGGAGGGGGCATCTAAGCCAGAATGAGAGGGAGTTAACAAGGCAAGGGGTGGAAGGGTGTTATAGGCAGAGGGAATAGCAGCAAAAAAAAAAAACAAAAAAAAAAACCTGTTTACTTTTCTTCCTGCACTGGAGCTCAGACCTCCTCCTTAATCCCCCACGGATCCAGGGGACACAGGCTATGGCTAAGGAGACCCTCTGGAGGGCCCAGCTGAGCATTGAGGGGAGCCACTGACCAGGGAGCAGCTGATTGGGAAATTCACCCCTGCCTACTCCCCAAGATCTCCAAGCCTGACCCAATCTTATGTGGTTGTTGCCCATCACAGGGCAGCTTAATGCACTTCCTAGGCACACCCAGCAGGCGCTCAGGAACAAGCGAGATCCTGTCCCACCCAGAGAGGTTGAGTGACTTGGTCAGAGCCACACAGCCTCCGGGACTGAGTGTTTGTATTCAATTCTCCCTGTGTTCTTGGGCGGGAGCTGGTCTGGGCTAAGAAAGGAAGGGCCGTTCCCCACTGAGCCAGACAGAGGCCATTGTGTGTTGGGAAACCCAAATCCGGCCCCCTCCGGGTGGATGTGGGGTCGGAGGAGGAGAGGGGCAGCGGGGGATGGCCTCCCTGCCCCCATCACCTCGGGGCTCCCAGCCCAGCCACATCTGGATCCCAGCTGGCAGCTCCGGGCAGAGGGGGAGCAGTGGCCGCAGGAACTTGCCATCAAAGGCAAGGAGCAGCCTGGTGGTGAGGAGACAAAGGCCAGGGCCGCCTCCAACCCCAGGCGCCAGGGAGGGTGCTGGTGCGGTGAGTGTGGCATTGCCTCCGGACCCACCCCATCCTCAGCCACTCTGCAGGGGGATGGGAAACTGAAGCCTCCCCTGGGAGCCCCCCACTGCCCACGCCTCCTCGGGGGCTCCCCTGTGGCCGCCACGCAAGGAACCTGGCTTGTGGCCACAAGTCAGGGCCGCTGCTCAGCCTTGGGGACACAGCCTTGGGGACACGAGTCACGGCCCCATCCCCCTGGGACACCCCTCTTGCCTCCCTTCCCCACTTGATTCAGCCCCTGGAGCCCCAAAGATGTGTCTCCCCCAGAAAGTTGCCCCACCCCATGGAACAGCGCAGGGGAAGTGCCCTTCAGAAAAGCAGCAAAACTCAGGCCAGAATAAAGTTTATTGTGCTGGTTTGTTACAGCTCAGCACCCGGAAAGTTGTGCAGAGGTTGGGGGGACCCCAGATGGAGGGATGGGGAAGAGGACCCCCCAGAGCCTCCCCAAATCAGGACGGAGCTCAGGCTCCCTGGTCGAGGACTAAAGAAGGCTGTGGACATAGGCTGCCAGACACCGCGTGTGAGCAGAGGGTGGGGCGGGGGGAGGGGGGGCCCTGGGTGCCCTGCTCCAGGCCAGGCGTCAGAGACCCTCCACCCCCCAGACTCCCCAGAGTGAGGTCACCTCACTCAGAGCCCCGGGCTTCTAGGCTGCTTTGGGAGCCTGACAAAAAGGTTTAGCTCATTCACCCCATCCTCACACCCCATCCCCACGGCAGTAGCGGGCCGAGCCCCCACATCCCACACCCCAGACCAACCAGACGCTGCGGGGCACCTTCCGGAACACTGAGAGCAGTAATTTCCAGAGTGCGCCCTGCAGCAGTTTCCACTGTAGCTGCTAAAAAATAATAATAATAATAACGAGAGTACCCTGGTCAAAAGCAGTTTGGGAAAGGCTGTGAAACCAGAAACCAGATTCCCCGGGGCCTTGACTGCAGGACTTGTCAGAGCCCTGGGGTGGTCTAAGGGGGTGCGGGGAGTCGAGAAGCAGCGTTTCCTCAATGCATTGGATGCCAACATCTTTTTTCCCACAGGGTACCTCAGGGAACCCAGTTTGGGAAATGCTCATTTTCGTACCTGTCAGGGTACCTCAGGGAACCCAGTTTGGGAAATGCTCATTTTCGTACCTGCCAAGAGGTGAGTAGGTGAGGGGCCCACTTCTGCCGTAGCACTAACCGCACCCGCCCCGGCCACTTCCACGTCTCCCGGTTAAAATCTTCCAAAACTCCTAGCTGATCGGTTTACGTTTCTACCTCGATGGTGATGCTGGCCCGGTCACAGGGGACCCGCCAATTGTGTTTCCTAATCGACGTGGTGGTAAGGGGGACACATCCCCAGCCCCGCCTCCCCACAGGAGCTGTGCTTGGGATGTAGCCCTTCGGGGCTGCAGAGGCAGATGTTCTAGAACTTGGTGAGGTTCCCGGGTGGAGCAGACACCAGTGTCTGTTCGCTGTAGGAGGGGACACGCTGGGATTTGCAGCTGGGCCCAGAGGGGACCACTAGGGGCCAGACAGTCAGGGCCACAGCCCTGGGGGCCTGTTAGACGCTAGGGGTGACACTGCCACAAGCACAGGGACTCTGGGGGGGCCCAGCTGGGTCCCCGGCTTCCTGGGCTAATGAGGGAGCCCCTTCTGGCTCCCCTGGACCTTCTCGGACCCCCAGGACCCCCTCTGCCAGCCCTGAGCATGGCCCCTCCGTCACCCCTGGCTTCTCTGTGGGGACCCCACACCCCGGGGCGTCCCGGTCCTCCTCCTGGCCGCCTGGCTGCTCTTTCTCTGACTTGCCCTCCGTCATCCTGGCTCCATCTCCACCGCTCGGGGCCGCCCTGGTGGGAGACCTGAGGTTCTGGGTGGCGGCGAGGATGTCGGCCTGGAGCTGCTGGGAGGAATCCAGGGCCTCCTCGGGCCGGCCGTCGGGGGCCCTGTCGGGGACCTCGCTGAAGGCCTGGGGGCCCCCGGCCCGGTCCCTCTGGTCCACGTACTTCTTCTTGGGGAAAGACGAGGGGTAGTAGGCGGAGGCCTTGTGCTTCTGGCGGGTGATGACGGCGGCGCAGACGGTGAACATGACCAGGAGGACCAGCGAGCCCACCACGGCGATGAGCATCACGTACTCGCGGAAGAAGTCCACGATGCCGTCCAGGAAGTTGGTGGGGGGCTTGGGGCCCGCCAGGGGCGTGGGCTGGGGCCCCACC